AACTCGGAGGAGGAGGAGAGGGAGGAGGAGGTGGGGCTGGAGCGTCTCCCATCTCATCATCTGGGAGAGGTGGAGGAGGCAGCATGGACAGGTCGGGATAGGCAGGTAGAGTCGGGGAACGGTCAGACATGAGTGAAGGAGGCGGTGAAGATGGAGAGAGATCAGGAGGAGCTGAGATGCTAGAACCCACGCAATCAGGTACTGATGGAGGAGGAACTGCGATACCCAAAAAAGACCTGAAACCACAGCAACAACAACTGAGTTAATCAAAAACATTTTTACCTAAAGCTATCTGAATATAGGCAGCAAAAGCCATTACAAACCAGTTGAAGGTGCTGGTCTCCTGTGTGCCAAGTTGTACAGACACAGATTCCTCATTGTCTGCTTTTGGCTCTTCCTTTGGTGTCACAACATAATAAATGGAAATAAATATACAAAATCAGCAGGGGGTTTAGGCTGAAAATATTGTGCAAATCAATTAAATTATTAAGTTAACTATTATAAATAGGATAATCTTATAATTAGTAATTACTGATGAAAAACAGTAGGACATTGGCAAATAGTTTTGTTTCAACTTATTTTGCTTGTGATGAATTTATGATTCTTTAAAATGTAATAAGTCTAAATGCAGTTAAAGCCCTTTTTAAAAGCTAAATGTTATAAAAAATACACTTCTAATTAGTGATAATATATATATATATTATATAAATTATATATATATAATTTACATGTATTATTTAAAATATTTTTATATCAGTAAATACTATATATTTAATTTAAAATGTTTGGGATCAGTATGTTTTCTGTAATATTTATAAAATAAGTATTTTATGCTCACCAAGGCTGGATTTATTTGATCAAAATATATTGTAAAAACAGTAATATCATGAAAAATTATAACAATTTAAAATAACTGTCTTCTATGTAATATCTAATAAGATGTAATTTATTCCTGTGGTGCAAAGCTGAATTTTCAGCATCATTGATCCAGTCCGTGGAATCCATGTTACATTTTTTTCAGGACTCTTTGATGAATAGAAAGTCCAAACGAACAGTATTTATTTTAGATATTTTTTGTAACCATTTAAAAGTCTTTACTGTCTCTTTTGTTAAATTTAATACATCCTTGCTGAATAAAAATACTAATTTCTTTCATTCAGTCATTCAATAAATAAACATAAATAAAATAAAAATGTACAAAAAAACCAAACTTTCTGATCCCAAACTTTTGAGCGGTTGTATATAATATATAATATACAATATAATATCATATAAAATACATAATGCTATGAATTTTTAGGCCTAATGCAAACATTAGATCACATATTTCTTAATATTATTTATAAAACGTCTAATTTTCTTTTAATTTAACCACAAGAAGTGAAAAAAAAAACAGCAGTATACAAGTAAAAGTATTATATATTTGGAGATATATTTGCTCACAGTTTTGCTGCCTTCCCAGTGGCCGTGGCCCAGTTTGTCTAAGCGGGTGTAGGAAATGGGAACCTGTCTGTACGTGCGAAACGGCTCCAGGCCACTCGCTGGGGGAACCACCTTCTGAGTCCGGGGAACTTTTGACTGTTTGGTCAGCACTCCAATCTCTTTCCGGGATATTTTCTCCTTGTACATGCCAACTGTCTGAATGTGAATACGGACATTAGGAGGTTATTTTGCCCATTTACAACTTTGACATGATTATATGTATATTAAACAAGTAGTTGACCAAAAAATGAAACTGTGCTGAAAATGTAACAAATTTACCATTACATCAGTTGCTCACCAATGGATGCACAAGAAATCCACACGACTCCAGTCCATCAATTAAAGGGGTCATATGACGTTGCTAAAAAGAACATTATTTTGTGTATTTGGTGTAATGCAATGAGTTTATGCAGTTTAAGTTTAAAAAAACTGATTATTTTCCACATAATGTACATTATTGTTTCTCCTCTATGCCCCGCCTTTCTGAAACGCGTCGATTTTTACAAAGCTCATCGGTCTGGAAAGTTGGAATTACCCCACTTTACAGAAACAGACACCGGCATTGTAGGCTACTCTCCCAGGAAACAGTCCTCGTGGGTCGAACTGTTCTGGAACATTTTTGTAAATACAACTTAACCACTGATTTCTAGTTGTGTCCTGTTTTGGAAGGCCAAACAAAGTATTTTCGCTTTCGCAACGAAACACACTGCGTCTTCCTGACATGGCGGCGGCAGCAACAATAAAGTTATTCTGGAATCCAGTCTGGAATTCTGTCACGGTACTGCTGCTGTGTAGGAGCGCGGCGCAAAGGAGCGAGGCGACCTAGGAGAATTTTATTACTTTTAATAATCAAAAGGAAACAGGAAAACACACGTAGCCATGTTGACATGAACAATTCTAGACAAGGGAGAACAGAACGGGCTCGAACTCAAATAGGGCAGATAACGAGGGGCAGACAGGTGATGAGGATAACTAATAACAAGGAACAGG